AACCCAACTCATCAGGAAGACCAAACAATTTTAAATGCATACATGCCTGGTAATGAAGCCTCAAACTATAGGAGGCAAAAATGGGCAGAATTAAAGGAAAAATTATACAACTCCACCAATACAGATATTAACAACCCTCTTAGCAATGATGGAATTAGACAAAATAAAAATCAGCTCCAAAATAAATGATGTGAATTATCAACCTGCTTAATCTTAATGAGTATATAAAAGAACCTAACAGTCAGCAACTGAAGAATACACGTTCTTTTCAAGTTTACATGGTATATTCACCAAAATAAATCATATATTAGGCCATAAAACCCAAGTTTCAATAAATTAAGAAAGACTGAAATCATAGAATATATTCTCTGATCACAGTGAAATTAAATTAGGAATTAGTAACAATAGCTAAGAAAACCCCAAATGTTTTGGAAATTGGACAACACACTATAAAGTAATCCATGGGTCAAAAAAGAAGTTAGAAAATATTTTAAAAATTGAACTATAAGAAAACCATGATCTCAATCTTTGTGGGATGACAAAAGCAGTGCTTAGAGGACACTTCATAGTGTCAAGTGCCTCTATTTGAAAAACAGAAAGGTGTAAAAAAAAAAAAAAAAAGCTAAAATTCCAATTTAAGAAGAGGAAGACCAAAATTAACCTAACACACAAGGAAAGAAATAATGAAGAGCTTAAATCTGTGAAACAGAAAGTGGAAAAAATTAATGAGGCCAAGTTTTAAAAACTTGGTCATCACCAATTTACTTTGCCATTTGTTCTCTCATTCTCTGTCAGTCTCATTTATCGTTTTAACAGATTTTTCCAAAGAACCAGCATTTGGTTTTACTGATTTTTCTTTATGTTCTTCTTTTAGCCTACAGGTATTAAAAAGATAACAAAATATTCTAAACACTTTTATGCCAACAAATTTGACAACTTAGATGAAAAAGGCAAATTTCTTGAAAAAAATCCACTTACTAAAATTGATACAACACAAGAAAATCTGAGGAGAAAAAAAAAAAACTACACCTCCCACCCCTCAACTCCACCCACAAAACCCAAAGACCTACAGCTATTAAAGAAACTGATGATCAAAAACCTGCCCACAAAGAGTGCTCCAAGTCCAGATGGCATTCCGGGTATATTCTACCAAACATCAAAGGAAGGATACCACCAATGTTATATACTCTTTTTGAAAGAAAAGGACAAGGAAATGTTTCCAAACTAGATTTATAAAGCAAATACCCTAAAACCACAAAGTGGTAAGGAATAAGGTCGGCGGGAGTAGAACAAGGTGAAGGGAAATCAGGAGTTTGGCAGGCAGGGTGGGTTGCATTTTAAAATATGGTGGTCACCTCTTTCAGCAAGTGACTTCTGAGGAAAGACCTGGAACAGGTGAAGGCCCTAGGGGACGTATGTCTGAACAGCACCAGTGCAAAGCCCTAAAAGGCAGGAATATGCCAAGAAACAGCAAGGAGGCAAGTGTGCGGTCCTGCAGGGCCAAGCCAGGTAAGTGTATCAACACAACAGAAAGGATCAACTTCTTCATACTGACGTTAATCAAATACAATGAGGACCCAGAATTTAGCAAAGTGGGCATCACTGGTGACCTTGAAGAGAGCAGTTTTGTGGGACTGTAGGGCTGGAGAAAGTTTCAGAGAGAATGGGAGAACTGGATCTAGGGAATATAGACACCTTGTGATGGTTTGTGCTTCAAAGGGAAAGAAAAAATGGGGCAGTACACGGAGGAGGAAGCAGGGTCAAGGGTTTGTTTATGCTTAAGACAGGAGAATAGCATGTTTACATGCTGAAGAATAGGATCCTGAAGAGAGAAAAACGGATTAAGAAAGGAGTACTTGGCCCAAGGTCAGGCACATTGGCCCAAGGTCAGGTACACTGAACACATACATATTGCTCTTACTATGCCCGTTCCAAAAGAATTCTGAAGTCTTCTAAAATAAGCCACTGCCATCAATAATTTATGAAACAGTGCGTGATGGAAATAGGTTTGCTATTTCATTAAACAAATGATTAACCTAAATAATTATTAGAGCATTTGTGAAAAAGTTAGACCAAACTCTTGAAACATGTCCAAGGTGCCTCTGGTTTCTTTAGTGATCCAATTAAGTGCTCCAAGAGGCTGTTTCTCCTTTTGTTTCTTCTTCATTGCTTTGTGTTTTATGGACGATGTTTTGCTCTCTTTGGGGCACTTGATCAAAAATTTATTTTTCTTGATTAGAGTTCAATTTCATATAATGGCTTTATGTGCTCGTACAACTTCATTTCTCAAAGTTTTTAAAAAACGTAGTCTATGGGAAATGCTCCACATAAGAATGTGTGCATAGGATTTTTAGTTTCCTGAGGCTGTTGCCATAGATTTTTGGCAGTGAAACTACAGATACTGAACTAATTAAAGATTTAAAACACATTGTTAGGCATCTAGAATCACACTCTGAAGGTTAATTTAAAAGAAATAATTAGAAAAAGCAAAGCAAAGTCTATACCATAGAGAGTTTTGTGGTAAGAGTCAAGAATCACAAAATGTTTTTTATTAGTTTTAATTACTTTGCTCCCCTGACCAGAAGATATTAACAGCACATTAGATTTACTGCCAACTTATATAGTATGCACAAGTCAGATCCAAATCTCAATAAGATTTGATTAGTAAGGTGGGGGGGTGAGAAACCATGAGGCTCTAGTTTTCATTACCCCCAGTGGAGGAACGACGGATCGAAAACTCAAGTTTCCTGATCCGGATTCCATATCCTGCAAAATATACCAAAACCTGAAGTGGTCCGTTAAAGGCTGTGGGCTAAAATGGAGTATACAGGTCAATAATCTACTTTGAATAACTAGCCTGTTTTGACTTATCAAACAAATCTTATAAGCAGTTATGATTGTTCTTATAATACCGACGACATGATAATTATCTCCACCTACTGGATGCAAAAGAGGCATAAGATCTATTTGTTCAGGGTTCTTCCAGAGGGCAAACTGGAGAGATTACAGGAAGGCTAAAAGTACATTCTGGGTCAACTTTTTCACAAACAGAGAGGGGAAACACAGAACTACGTGATAACTCATTTGAATTACTCAGATACCAAAAAAAAAAAAAAAAAAGCTTAGCAGAAGCTACTGTTTTGAATTGAAAATACAAATTTTAAAAATGAACTCTTAAAATAAAATATACATATATACACATATATAAAATTTGTGTCAAACTTATTTTGAAAACTAGCTAAGGTAACAGTCATGAGGCTACAGGTAACTTATTTTATCTCTTGGAGCTTCAGTTTGCTTATCTGTAATAAGGGTATCTTTCCTTCAAGGTTATTTGGAGAACAAAAATTCAATGTGATAAGCACCAGTGTTCTATTTGTGCTCAATCAATTGCTATAATTTTAAAAAATTATTAAAGGTTTCCAAACTTGTGCACAGCTTGAAAAATAAAGCAATGACATCAGTCTGGGAAAACAAAACAAGTTTCACATTTGAAAACAGCTGAAGGAAGAACTTGTATCTGTTACTTCAAGGAAAGCAACAAAGCTGATATCCCTGGGTCAGTTTCTTTAAAATGTTATCAAGTGGCCTTTGGTCTCAGAAAGTTTCCTCCAACATGCTTTGTGTAGAAATCTTCCCTCCCATAAAAACCCTTTTAAACTTCATGACCTTAAAAGCACTTCTCAGTTTGCCGGAATAAAAATAAGACAGGAATTATTAAGAGAAGACTCGATACAGCAAACCACATCATATTCACTGTAATTTGAGGTCATTAGTTTTTAAAAATATCTAAAGCTAAGAAAAAGAGTACATACCTAAGTGCTTACATCCTCTAAATTTAACCTGCAGAAACCAATAAAACATTTTAAGGTCTATACACAGGAAATGCTGAACTTCAAAATCAAACCACAGTAATTTATTATAAATAAATAACTATCCCATAAATAACTTCACTCTAATGACACTTGCAAAGCTTTTTGTCTCTTGTATAGCACTTCTTTAGTTCAGATCAAGTCAAGCTGTTTTCCATGAATAAAATAAAGGCAGCATCTCAGAGAGTTTGAATTATTGTGTGTTTTACTATAGTTATCTTTTTATTCTGTGGAAGCACTCTGCTACACTCTGGTTTTTAGCTTGGTTCTGTTTTTTACCTAAGTTTCCAACCTCGCTTCAAATTACCGTTTGACGGTCACACAGTGTAATGAGGTTGGTGGATTAGTGAAATTAAAACCCAGAATCCTCTTTACCACCCTTCTTTTCAAGCACAGATCAATTATTTATGACCAAGTTCACCAACACTATGTTTTACTTTAGGAAGCAGTCCATCTGAAGGTAGCTATAAATAAAGTAAATAGAATCTGGCCTCGGAACTTTTTGACCCCACACACCACTGAAAGGAGATGGAAGGAAAGAAGCAAACGAAGAATACAAGAGGAAAGAAAAATTAAAGAACAAAAGAGGTCAATATCCACTGAGCTGCTTCTATGCCTGAATCTTCCAAATAAAAGATTTCATTTGTTCTCAATTATCTCGACATTACTTCATTTAATTCTCACTATCTCATAAAGGAGATATTGTATTCACCTTGTTTAAAACCGAGAAACACCAGATCAAAAAGGCTAAGGGGGTCATGGAATAAGTGAGAAAACCAGAATTTGACCTGGGTTGGTCTGATTCCAAAGCCTGGGCACTTCCAGTATCAGATGAAATAATTTCTAATATTTTTAAATTTGGGTCAGTTCAGGAATCTTCACAACGAAGAGGAATCAAATCGTACTTCCAACGTATAACACAAATAGCAAAAAAAAAAATCCCCAGTACCATTATTTCAATGGCCTACAAGAACTTCAAGTCTGAGGTTGTCACCGTTATGCTTAAGACATAGATGAAATCCTACACCGAACTGCACGAAACCTCACGTGGAGATGGCCTGCAAAGAGTAGTGAAGCCATTTCCAAAAGCAAGACAAAGAGAAGGTCAAGTTGTAAATAACCTCTTACCTGCTGTACTTCACTTTCTCCATTTGAGATTTTCTCAGTGTAAACAAAGGAGTTGAATATCCGCTGGAAGAAAAAGAAAAATGAACAAACATTAGATTTTCTAAAGAAGACAGCCATTTTCTAATGAGCGTGTGTGTGTGTGCGTGCGTGAATAATTTGTTTACAACACAAATAGAATCAAGCAGAAAAAATTTAATTAAAATACTGTTATTTTACACAGAGAAATCCACATATCGGCCAAAGTCAATCACACTTATATAAGCAAATGCCCAGGCACTCCTGTAGTGAAATAAACCAGATGTTTCACTATATTTTTCATTTTCAAAAATACATTTAATTATAGATTTCCGGAGCCCATGCCATTTTATCCAAGTGGTATAATCTGACAAAGTTGTGTTTCTCATTTAAATTCTGTACTCCCTGAATGCTGTAATTGTTTACAGACACTAAAATCTAATGCAATAAAGATATTTTAAAAGGGATTCTTTCCATATTCTCTCATGTCCCTGGTCCCACCAGTACCTACCCAATATTATCTATCACCTTCATTACCCAAGCACTCCCTTGGGAGGGTAACATAATAGGGCTTGCCAAATATGTGCGGCCTTAAGATCCAGTTCTTACATGTCAGGAAATGGGACAGCCATGCCAAGACATTAGTCCAAACTGTGACACACAAGCACACACATTCTTCCACTGCTCTCCGCCTAGCTAGTACCCACCCCCTCTGTACGTTGCCTGCATTTAAAACATCCCTGCAGACTTATGACTTTACCAAACCCTACCCATTACTGATCACAAGAGATTCATATATAACAAACTAAGGAAATTAGAATCCAAGATACTTATCTGTTAGAGACACAAAAAAAGAGCAGGGGCCCTATCATTTATCCTAAAACTTTAAAGATACCACTGGAACTCTCCCGATCAGCAAGGAGTCAGACCTGGAGATGTCAGCCAAAACTTCCCTTTTCCCTTTCTATCCTACTGCCAAGGACTTGTCAGCATCTGGGACAGCTTCCAGAACAGCCTAACACACCTGCATGGTTGTGGTGAGGAAGGCAAGGACCAAGTTTACCAAGTACTGTGCAAATGGGGAAAGATAAGGTGCTGGGGGTGGGGGGAGGATTGTGACAGAATGGGATGGAATTACAGTCTGGAAAATTCTAATTATGAATTATCATAATTTTACAATACACCACTCATTCATCCAACAGATGTTAATTTTCCCTTTCCTTCCTAAAACAGACTCTGTTGAGGGGCGCCTGGGTGGTGCAGTTGGTTAACGGGCCAACTCTTGGTTTTGGCTCAGGTCGCCATCTCCAGCCCTTGCGTCCAGCTCTGTGCTCAGCGCAGAGTCTGCTTAAGTTTCTTTCTCCTTCTCCCTTTGCCCCTCCCCCCCCAAATAAATAAATCTTGAAAAAAAAATGACTGTGATAGGAAAGGTACATATTTTTAATAATAGGGCTAATGGGGCTCCTGGGTGGCTCAGTCGTTAAGCGTCTGCCTTCGGCTTGGGTCATGGTCCCAGGGTCCAGGGATTGAGCCCCGCATCGGGCTCCCTGCTCAGCAGGAAGCCTGCTTCTCCCTCTCCCACTCCCCCTGCTTGTGTTCCCTCTCTCCCTGTGTCTCTCTCTGCCAAATAAATAAAATCTTTAAAAAAAAAATAATAGTGCTAATAATAATGATATTGGCTACTGTGTAATAAATGCTTACTATGGGCAAACATTATTCTTAGCGTGTATTTTTTTATTTAAAAATGTCTCCTAAAGCATCTTCGTGACAGGCACTACTATGTCCATTATACAGAGGAGAAAACAAGCAGGTTTGTCGAGTGTCTAATGCCATGCACATATTGTACCTTTGTGTGCATATCCTATTCCATCTTTATAAGGGAATTGCTGCAGCTCCAAAGATGAAAAACTCCTACCTTGGGAAGTTAATGATCTTACCCAGAGTCACTTGGCAAGGCTGGAATTGGAACCCAGGCAGACTTCATATCTGGTGCTCCTAACTCTATTGTCTCACGAGAATTTGCCACATGCCTGCCTGACATATTTAAAAACAAAACAAAAAACCCACTTCTGTTAGGAACTAATACCCAAACATAATGCAGATCAACAGTCCCTTACGTGTCTTTCCAAAATTCAAAAGGCTCTAAAAATCAAAAGTTTCACATAACACATTTGTTAGCAAAATAGGACATGATCTGAATTTATTAGGCTATAAAGCCTAACTCCAACTGATGTGTACTTATAGCCTTTATTAAACCATTTAATGTGTATGTTCATTAGTTCTGATGCAGATATATTAATTAATGCATCTGATTATTGGGTTCTGTTCGAGATCTCACTGGCAATGTTTTTTCATTACGGGGCATTAGGATTCTGAATCCTAAGACAGATCCCATTTTGAAAAAGGGATTAGGAACCTGTAGACCTCCATTCCTACAATTTTAAGTTCTCAGTTTTCTGGTGAACACCTTAGTTTAATAGATTATAACATTTTTGGAATCTGGGTCACTGCCATCTACTTCCCAGACCATATTCCATATTTTTATACTATTTGATATTCAAAACCTGCTCAGGGAGGCGCCTGGGTGGCTCAGTCAGTTAAGCGACTGCCTTCGGCTCAGGTCATGATCCTGGGTCCTGGGATCGAGCCCCATGTTGGGCTCCCTGCTCAGTGGGGAGTCTGCTTCTCCCTCTCCCTCTGCTCCTGCTCTCTCTGGCTCATGTGCACTCTCTCTTAATAAATAAAATCTTTTTTAAAAAATGAAATTGGGAGTTAAAAAAAAAAAAAACCTGCTCAGTACCAATGAGAACACTGACTGAAAATTAACATAATTCATGTAGTATCTCCAGATCTTGATGAGTGTGGTCAATTTCTCATTTCTGACAATCATCTTCCAGTTGATACGTCATCTGGCCTGTCCTGGAAGGTGCCTGATGGAACAATGCACGAAATAGCCCTGGGAAGCACACCAGATCCACCTTGCTCAAGTCAACACCTACCAAGGGCCAAACTTAAGAATGTCTTTTTTTTTTTTTTTTTTTTTTTTTGGTTAAAATAAAAGTGAATTCCTCACTAGTAATAAGGAATAGATGTTGGGAGGTGTTCACAAGGCTGTGTTTCAGTCCCTGTTTTACTCATTTATTACTTTAACAATTATGAATAAACATTGCTAATACTTTCATGCAGATCTTTTTATGGCCTATAAGCATTTTTATATTCTCTGTACTTAATGAATGTAGGTGGATAAAAGAAAATTTAAAAAAATTTTGTATATGAACAGTAGTGACTCTGTAGGCTACCTACTTTCTACAGCCCTCTAACTACGCCACAAAGTGAAATCACCTGCAAGGGTAATAGTTTGGGGCTCTCACCAAACAGTTTTTGTCCCTCTCCTTCCCCATGCAGGGGAAGGCTGTTAGGGGCCGGGAGAATCTAGACAAGTAACTCAGGACTCAATAGGTCAGCCAGTCCTGTCTGGTGCAAGGTTAAAAGTTCAGGCTTGTGTGTGCACACATCTCAAGGTACAGAGCGAGTTCCCCTACGCTCTAGGTCAATGGACAGTAACCGTCTAGCTTAGAATGCAGGGTCTGCTAAAACCAGCTTTCAAAGGCTTGGGCTTATTAGTACTTTTATAATTTACAATTTCACATAAATGATCACATTTGATCCCCATAGCAACCCTATGGGGCAGGCAGGGCAAAGATCTGAAACCAATTTCACAGACTGAAAGCGACAGTTCAAGCATTAGAAAATGTATCATAGGTAAAAAAAAAAAAAAAAAAAAAAAAGGAAAAAAAAATTCAAGTGCTGAGCTCTGAACCCAGGTCTTAAGTTAAAAACAAGCATTGAATTTAGCAAAGCTATTAAATGTGTTCACATCACCTTTTTGTTCAGGATAATCTAGGAATCCCAACACCTACATATAGATAAAAAGGCCTACTGGGGATTTTTTCCCACTATTTTAAGCAAAATATAATGTGCTGGCATAATAATATATGTATCCAGTGTCAATATATATATCACCAACGTCTGGAGTGATTCAGAGTCCCAGACAAAGGTCTTATTTTTTATTACTTTCTCCTGCTATGTGAAGCTGTGAAGGGAATAGAATACAGGGTTCTGGGGGTGGGAGGGAGGTGTTTTTAATTTGAGAGCCAGGCATTCCAAATGGTATACCTAGCTGACATTTTGGTGACCTCAGTGTAAAGAGTTTCTTGGTTGTTAGAGGGACTTGAACAATGAAAATGAAAAAGTTGTCCTAAAACAGGAAAATAGTGAACAATCCCAAAAGGTCAGACTGCCCGGTCCTCTTGGATGATGTGCTCACAGTTGACAGGGTCAGGGTATGCTGTGCGGGACAGGCATTCTGCACTCTCTTTCCAAGTTGTCACTTTCCGTGATCCCAATTCCCTGGAGAACAAAAGGAATTCCAGAAACTTGAACTCTCAAAATTTGAGCACAACCTGGAGGGAGTCTGAAGGAACTCCCATGGTATATGAATCCCTGGAAGTAAAGGCAAAGATACTGCCCACCCCCCACCCATTACTCTTTCTCATTCCCAAATACTATAAGTAAAAATATGTTTTATGGTAAAGTGAAAAGAGCATTAAAGTGGGTGGAGTTTTAAGAAGTTATTTTAAGTAAAAACATTTCACTGAATTCTTTATCAACTGAATTTACTTCCACAACCAAAAGAAAACAAGATATCTTATTTTTATGCTCATGAGAATGGGGTACTCTGGACAAAAATGACCTTCCTCTCATTAATACACACACATTGGAAAACTAGCAGTATCCTCTAAACTTAATTATATGCAAATCCTATGACCCAGCATTTCCCATCTTTGGTATACACTGAGCAGAAATGTGTTCATATATTTATCAAAAGAGGAGCCTAAGAATGTTCACTGCAGCACTGATACTCCTAAGAGCCCCAACCTGGAAAATATCCAAATGCCTATCAGCAATAGAACAAATTGTGGTGTAGTCACACAATGAAAGGTTCAGCGATGGGAATGAACACACAATTGCAACATGCATCAACATGA